ACCTACACCCTTGAGTAAGGTGGGGTATGTTAAAGTTAGTGGAATAATAATGCTTCATTGAATGCACAACAATCTTCTTTTTTTTTTTTTTTTTTAGACGGAGTCTTGCTCTTGTTGCTCAGGCTGAAGTGCAATGGCATGATCTCGGTTCACTGCAACCTCTGCCTCCCAGGTTCAAGTGATTCTCCTGTCTCTATCTCCCAAGTAGCTAGATTACAGGTGCCCACCACCATGTGTGGCTGATTTATTGTGTTTTTGTAGAGACAGGGTTTCACCATTTTGGCCAGGCTGGTCTCAAATTCCTGCCCTCAAGTGATTTGCTCACCTCAGCCTCCCAAAATGCTGAGATTATAGGCATGAGCCACCATACCCAGCCAGAATGTGTAATAGTCTTAGCATGGTAAAAGAAAATATTTAATTAAAAATTAAGTCCGCACATAATCTAAACATTTTGAAATGTTCTGCATTTTACTAAATAAAAGTACAATTAGTAAAATTATATGCTACTATTTTAATTAATTTTAATTTACATTTTACTAAAATTAAAAATGTTTTTCTCTCATGACAGGAAAGAATATTACTCTGAACAGCTACCTCATACATTACTGAGAAAGTTAACCATAAAGAGCCTCTCCACTTAGATTCTTATCATGCAGCTTACATTTTGAGTTGAATCACACCATTATTTACTCTTAAAAACTTTTAAATCTTATCAAAAAAGTATACCTGAATGTAATTATAACTTTTTAAAGGAATTTCTACTCGTTTTAAAGTTATATAAAATTAATTTATTTACCAACTGTAGTTTTGGATTTTCTATACCCAGCACTCTGATTTAGTGTAATGTCTGAAGTGTCAGCGCCTTAGATATTTCTACTGTTAATTCTCTGATATTTACATAAATATCAATTTGAATTAAGTATTTTTTCATACTTACTGCACCTGCAAAAGTACATTTTAGTATGAGCTCTCTGGCATTTTCTAAGCTACAGATTTTGAAAAAGCCTTTTTCCAAATTCATTACATTGGCTGAATTTTCTCCAATATAAATTCCCTAATGTTAAACAGTTTGAGCAACTGCTTTGAGTTATTCTCTGGTACAAAATATGTACAATAAAATCTGTGATACAAGTAAAAGTACTACAACCCTCTTTGTATTTATAACGTTTGTCTTCAGAATAAACTTCTTCATTTTAAATGCTTATGTTTCTAAAAGATCATTTGACAGTAATTGTATTTATAATACTTTTATTAAATATAAACTCTGCTGTTGCATAATATGATGGGCAGATATTACTGACTTTGCCACATTCTTTATATCTGTACACCATTTCTCAAGTATAAATGCTTCCCTATGCAACAAGTTGTGAACGCTGGTTAGGAGTTTTGCCGTATTCTTCACTCTTGGAGTTATCTCCAGTATAAATTATTTTACCTGCAATCAACTGTGAAAACCATTTAAAAGCTTTTTCACATTCTTTATGTCTCTAGAGTTTTGCACTAGTATATATATTTTTTGTTTAGAAAACTTTGAGGTGTTGTTAAAAGCACTGTGACATCATTCAGGATTGTAGCGTTTCACTCCAGTATAAATCATCTTGTATCTATTAAGAATTGAGAAGTTGTTAAGGGCTTTGTGACATTCTTCACACTTTAGGATTTCTGTCCAGTATAAATTATGTGTAATAAGGGGTGAGAACTTTTAAAGGCTTTCTCACTTTCTTCATATTTGTAGGCTTTATCTTCTACATGAATTCTCATGTTTAGTAAGAGTTGAGAACTGGGTAAAGGCTATGCCACAGTCATCCCATTTGAAGGGTTTCCATCCAGTATTAATTATTTTGTGCTTAGTAAATGTTGATGATTTGTTAAAAGCCAGCCCACATTCTTCAGATTTGTAGGGTTTCTCTATTATGAATTCCCTTATGTTTAGTAAAGACTGAGGAACCGTTAAAAGCTTTGACACATTCTTTACATTTATAGGGTTTTTCTCCATCATGGGTTATGTTTAGTAAGGTTTGAGGAATGGTTACTAGCATTGCCACATTCTTCTCATTTGTTGGGGTTCTCTCTAGCATGAATTCTCTTATGTACAGTAAAGTTTGAGAAACAATTAAAAGGTTTGCCACATTCTTCACATTTGTAGGGTTTCTTTCCAGTATAAATTACCTTATGCTTTGCCACATTTTTACACTTGTATGGTTTCTTTCCAGTATGAATTATCTTATGTTGAGTAAGTGTTGAGAAGTCGTTAAAGGCTTTGCCACATTCTTTACATTTGTAGGGTTTCTCTCCAGTATGAATAATCTTATGTTGAGTAAAAGTTGAGGACTGCTTAAAGGCTTTGCCACATTCTTTACATTTATAGGGTTTCTCTCCAGTATGAATTCTCTTGTGTTGAGTAAGGTGTGAAGACCAGTTAAAGGCTTTGCCACACTGTTCACACTTGTAGGGTTTCTCTCCAGTATGAATTATCTTATGTCGAGTAAGGTGTGAAGACCAGTTAAAGGCTTTGCCACACTGTTCACATTTGTAGGGTTTCTCTCCGGTATGAATTATCTTATGTCGAGTAAGAGTTGAGAAGTAATTAAAGGCTTTGCCACATTCTTTACATTTGTAGGGTTTCTCCCCAGTATGAATTGTCTTATGTCGAGTAAGGGCTGAGAAGTCATTAAAGGCTTTGCCACATTCTTTACATTTGTAGGGTCTCTCTCCAGTATGAATTCTCTTATGTTGGGTAAGGTATGAGGATCGGTTAAAGGCTTTGCCACACTGTTCACATTTGTAGGGTTTCTCTCCAGTATGAATTATCTTATGTCGAGTAAGGTGTGAAGATCGGTTAAAGGCTTTGCCACATTCTTCACATTTGTAGGGTTTCTCTCCACTATGAATTATCTTATGTCGAGTAAGGTATGAAGACTGGTTAAAGGTTTTGCCACACTCTTCACATTTGCAGGGTTTGTCTCCACTGTGAATTCTCTTATGTCGAGTAAGGTATGAGGTCCGGTTAAAAGCCTTGCCACACTCTTCACATTTGCAGGGTTTCTCTCCACTGTGAATTCTCTTATGTCAAGTAAGGTATGAGGACCGGTTAAAGGCTTTTCCACATTCTTCACATTTGTGGGAATTCTCTTTAATATGAATTCTCTTATGTAGAGTTAGTTGTGAAAGCATGCAAAACAATTTGCCACATTCTTTACATTTCAATGTTTTCTTTTTAGTGTGTCTTATCTCATGTCTACCTGAATTTGAAAATTTATAAAAGACTTTCACATATTTATCACATTGATATAATTTGCTCTCGATAGTTATCAGACATCGGTTAAGTCCGTGATAATCTCCTTTGCACACCTTACATGCATCCATACTTTTACAGCCTTTTCTTAATTGTAAATTCTCATGTCCACATTTATCATATCTCCTCAGTATGACTTTTTGGAAAAAATCTTTCATGTCTTGCTCGGGCCAAAGGTTTTCAGCAAAAGGAGAACACAGAACTAAAAGAAATTAAAATGACAAATTATTCCACTTACTAGACCCAGGTGACAGGTAGCTTTTTTCTTTTTTTAATGTCTAAGTTTCAAAGATTACAATGTATGCAAAATATTAGGGAAACATGGCCCCATCAAAAAAATTATAAAATTTTCATAAAGCAATCATCATAAAATAAAAATATGTAATTTTAGAAATTTAAAATAAGTTGAATAATGAGTAAAAGGAGCACAATTACTGAAAATCAGAAAAACTGAAAATTAGCAAAAATATTAAAAGTATTGTAAAAACAGTAATTGTGGAGGTAAAAAATACAAAAAGAGATAACTAACCAATTCCAAAAGAAAAAAATGGCATAAAAATAAAAAGTTTGGCTGAGCATGGCTGACACCTGTAATTCCAGCACTTTGGGAGGCCGAGGAGGGTGGATCACAAGGTCAAGAAATCAAGACCGTCCTGGACAACACTGTGAAACCCCATCTCTACTCAAAATACACAAATTAGCTGGGTGTGGTGGCGTGTGCCTGTAGTCCCAGCTACCCGGAGGCTGAGGCAAGAGAATGGCTTGAACTCAGGAGGTGGAGGTTGCAGTGAGCTGAGATCGCAGAACTGCACTCCAGCCTAGGGACAGAGTGAGACTCTGTCTCCAAAAAAAATAAATAAATAAAAATAAAAATGAAGAAGCTCAACAAACTAAAATACACACACAAGGTATTTATCAAAAACACATATATAAGAACAATTTAAAATGTCACAGATGAGAGAATCTCAAGAGCTGCAAGATAAAGCTGATGTGTCATTTATAAGCATAGACTTACACACTAAACAGTGAGTTAAAAAAAAAAAAAAATTGCAGGCCAGAAGAAAACTGTGTGATATTCTCAAAGTCCTGAAGAAAAATAGCTGTCAAGTGAGAATAATAATCATCAGCAAAAATGTCCTACCAAAGAAAAAAAAAAGAAGACCAAAATGAACCAAATCCTAAGACAGTATATTGGCATTGCATATGGCCCATATATCAAAGATGCTGAAAAAAGATTATTTCCACTGAAAATAACATGATGCAAGAAAACAACACATAATCATAAAAAATGCACAAGTTCCTGGGAAACATACATACAATAGAATTCCTTTTCATATCCGAGTCATGGCACCAAAAAAAAAAAAAAAAAAAGAATTCCTTACCATTACCATAATGGGTCAGAAAACATTTATAATTATTCTCTAAAATTTGAAAAACAAGAGCAGATAAATTATTGTAAATATCTGTTAATAAATATACATCTTAAAAAGATATAATCAGCGGGCCAGGTGCGGTGGCTTAAGCCTGTAATTCCAGCACTTTGGGAGGCCGAGGCAGGTGGATCACAAGGTCAAGAGATCAAGACCATCTTGGTCAACATGGTGAAACCCCGTCTCTACTAAAAACTACAAAAAATTAGCTGGGCATGGTGGCGCGTGCCTGTAATCCCAGCTACTCAGGAGGCTGAGGCAGGAGAATTGCCTGAACCCAAGAGGTGGAGGTTGC